CAGCTGCAAATTTTTGAACCGATAATAAAGAGGTAGATAAAGTGGGAACATTAAGTATATTAGACAAATGAAACGACCTAGAGAGGGTATGAAAAGATGCATGACCAATATGACTAATAGGCAAACCTGTACCATCACCGACACGGAGTGTGCCATTACCATTATATTCGTCCGAGATAGAGAGTGCCGCTATCCGGAATCGCATGATTCGTTGCACCCGTGTCTGGGTACCAAGTATGAGAGTCCGGTGAAGAATCTGAAGGAGCTCCGTGATAAACCATATTAGCCTGTGGATAATTTTCATACCGTTTGTAACACGTATGTGCCGTATGCCCGAAGTTTCCACAAAGTTGACACTTCGGTTGGCGATTGCCGTTCTTACCACCACGACCACGACCACCGCCATTCCCGCGACGGCCGCCACGAGACTGCCCGGATTTCTGGACGGAAAAAGCTGTCGGCGACGGTCCTCCACTGCAGGCGATGAACTGCTCGGCACTGAGGAGGTCCGAGAGTTCATGAAGGGTCACCAGTATTCCTCGGACATTGAGAAAAGATATAAGACCTCGAAATTCAGGCTGCAAACCCCGAAATATGTAAAGGTTTTGTTCTTCAAGCGAAAGGTGCCGGCCAGCGAGAGTTAGATCCTCAATGAGAACCTATGCCCCGCCGATATAATCAGTGATAGAAGCATCACCTTGTTGGAACATCTGAAGTTGCCCGAGAAGGTTCAACGAGCGAGACTGAGATGAAGAGGAAAGTGCGGAGGTAACGGCAGTCCACACTGCACGATTGGTGTGATGTTTGATAGCCAAGGGCATAACTTCATCATATAACGATGACATGAGCATAGAGAGAAGTTCTTGATCCTGACGAACCCATGGATAATAAGCAGGATTCGGCAGAGGCAGCACTCTCTGTTCGCCGGACGAGATCGTGGCCGGCGGGCAAGGATTGGTTCCGTCGATGAAACCCATTAGATCATGTCCGTTGAGAAAAGGAACAACTTGAGCCCTCCAAAATAAGAAGTTATGATGAGTCAATTTGACGCTGATGAAGTGATGAGTCGTGGAGAGGGTGGTTACGGTTGAAGTAACCGATGAGAGAGGGGCATCAGAAACGGTCCGTTCAGAGGAATTGACAGATCCGTCAGTCATTGGATTAAAACCCTAGCTAGCTGATACCAGATGAGAACTGTAATGAATTGTATTAATAGTACTGAATGACAAGAGACCTAGGTATATATACAAGAAGAGACTAAGGGAGACTTGGATTGGGAGATTTAGGGAGACTAGGATTGGGAGATTTAGGGAGACTAGGATTGGGAATCATAAGTAGACTCAAATACATAGATAGAGTCCTAATAGATACAACCGGGTAAGACCCACTATCCATGATCCTAGAAAATAGGATAATGGCCACCACAATTAATATTTTACAACTAACACTCCCACTTGGCAATTATCTTACAACAGTCATGCCTCATAAAAACCTTGCTAGAAAAATTATGTAGAAAAAACCTAGTCAAGGGAAAAATACATGTGCATGACAAAACATATATTGCACGGATTGCCTCGTTAAAAACCTTAAGCTAAAAAAAAAAAAGAACTAGTTGAAAAAAACTTAGCTATGGAAAAGAGTATAACCATAAACTAAACATAAAACTTCTGGACATAATCTTCCTGATATTACTATACCATAATCATGCCTCGTTAAAAAGCTCACTAGCTGGAAAGAGTACATGATATGTGTATTCATGTGTTGCACTAGTTGCTTCATTAAAAGCCCTTAATCCAAAATTTTCGCCGATCGTTTGTGTAGGACAAGAAATTGAGCATTAGTTCATAACTCTTGTGGCCTTTATAGATGGTTTCTCCCTGCTTCTTTACAATCTTGGGAATCCTGAGATTTGGAACATCAAGATTTTGAGGTATGTTTGTTTTGACATTTTTGTGGCATCATGACAATTTTGTAATTGGTTGATGAACCTTTTAAATTTTTACAACAGCATGATAGCACTCTAATGTCTCAGCATAACAATAAACGCAAGGGTAAAGGAATTGTTCTTCCACAATCTGAGGATATGATATTGCAACCTCCATCGGCTATTTTAGAAGAAGATCATATGCAAATAAGAATGAGACCTACGCCACCAAACATTGTGCGACAAGAGTTACATGATACTAATTCAGAGCGTACAATATCAACTGGTCCAAGCACAAGTACTAGTCATATGGCAGGAAGACTGTCAATTAAGATCTAAAATCTAAATCTATTAATAAAAAATTTAATATTTACATTTTTTGATTTCTAAATATAATTCCCTTAATTATTATTCGTATGATTAGAATTTTAATATAGGAAAATTCTAAATTTCCCTACATCTACCACTCACAACCAAGTTATTTGATATGTTGCAAGTTTTAATAAGTTTACTTTTCCTTTGTTTTCTTTTATTATTTTCAATGTCAACCTATTAGAACTAGCCGAATATGGTAATGACTATTTCGTGAATGGTAGATGTATGTGCATCTAGAATTGTCTTATATATATATATATATATATATATATATATATATATACACGAAATATAATTAGGAATAAATGTATATATTATGTAAATTTTGTTTATAAATTTATCTAAATATGTACATGGTTAATTAGGAATTATATTAACCTTACAAAATTTTAATTTTAATTTTGTATGTTATGAAAATATGTACATGATCAAATATATAGGAAATCTAACTATATTTTTATATTGTACATTTTAAACATCTTTTCATTTTTTTAAATTTTTTTTTTGAACAATTCTAATTTTTATTTAAATTCATGATAATTTAGTTTCTTCGTGCATCACACGGGTAAAACACTAGTGTGTGTACTATTTGTATACATTTAGGTATAAACTATATTATTAAATAAAAACTAAAAATGATATTATAATGAAAATTAAAGGTGGTCCTTGACCTTGTGCTTGAATAACATTACTATTGTATAACTTTCTATCCCCCATTAAGGACAAGAAACAACACTCCAATATTGATAAGTCCAAGCTATACTACATATCAACGATAAGAAGTGGCCCTTCAATCACTACTACGTACTCTAGTCTTGATATAATTTGAGAGTTCTATGTTAACTCAGCTAGGGTGTTAGTGGTGGTTGAGTTGATCAAATAGTTTGTTAGGTGAAAGTTTTGTAACAAGGTTGGCTATATATAACCTTCTCTTGCTATGTTTGTAATAAATTCTTCCAGATACATCTTTTCCCTTTCATCAATAAAATTATACATGTCAATGCTAGTAGCCTAACGAGAATAGTAATTGAAGAGGTAATAGCTGATGCAAGTAATTCCAATAGTGTAGGAAATTTTAACAACAAGAAGAGATTGAACTTCAACCATGGGAATAAATGTGCTAATTGTACTTTTGTGATATGTCTGGCCACACAGTTGAGAAATGTTACAAGAAACATGGTTATCCATTGAGTTGGATACCAGGGTATAAGTCTAAGAATAAGCAAATACCGATTAGAGTCTGTTTTGATATCTCGTGTATTGGCAGGGTCGATTTTTAGATTTTTGTCGCACATTTTTTATAAATAAATAAGGCACTACACTATTAAAAGTATAAACGCAATCTTTAAAACCAATACCGTAAAATATATGACTCTTCTTTTCAGATCAGTTACATAATGGTTTTGCCATGCTCAATTAATTTAGGTCCTAATTATTAGGAGAGAGAAGTGATTTGGGAAAAAACTTATGAGTTTTAGAATTAATTGTAGATTTTTAAATTTCAAATAACTAGGTCAAAAATAAATATTGAGCCGTCTAAAAATTGAAGTCTTGTATTGTTGCTCATCTTCTTACACAGCCCAAAATCCAGGTATGAATATTGGCATATCTAAGGAGAAATTCCAAAAACTTGTTTCTATTTTTTTTTTTTTTTTGGTAGGACAAAAACTTGTTTCTATGCTACAACAAGAAGTTGGACAAGGTGGTTTTGATCCCTCTGCCACTACAAGTGTGACTACGACTACTATCTCAACCATGAACATTAACTTCAAAATGACAACATGATAACTAACTAAAGGCAAGTATAATTTTGCCGTCACTAGTATTATATTCTCGTCTAAAGTCATATTTTATATTCAAAAAATGTAATCCAAAGTTCCAAACTTGATAGACGTGTTTTTCTAAGTCAAATTGTCTCATAATGTAGGCAGAGTCGATCTGCAATCATCAAGTGAAGAAAATCAAGAAATAGTGGTGCACGTTATACAAGTACAAGTAAAAGAAAAATAGTTCCATTATAATAATACTTAATGTTAGGGTAATAATAGTTAGGGTAATAGTACCCTAATAAAAGAAAAATAGTTCCAGTATAAAAATAGTTAGGGTAATAATACCCTAACTATCTTCTATATCATATTACTTAATGTTTTTTATTTAATTAATATTTTTTAAACTCATGATAGGATTGACTATTTCATAATGTATGAAGAACTAATACAGAGTTTAATTTTATTGCTACTTAAGAAGGGAATATTACAATGTAAATTCAAGAGAGAAAGAAAATGACATTTTTATTTCATATTACAAATTGTTCAAGCCAACTTTTTTTTATTATTAATTTCTTTGATAATAAAACTCCTTAAAATACCAGGACTATGTGGTCTAATGGTACCCGGGTTGGACTTCCATTTAGAAGGTTATGAGTTCAAGCCTTAGTGGAGGCGGGTGTTATTGGTTCTTTGTGTTTCAGTAGGTTGAGAAAGTATATGAACAGATACTACAATGTAATAGAGCCGGTAACATTCAAAAAAAAAAAAAACTCCTTAAAATTTTCAATCAAGTTCGGCATTGAAAAAAAAAACTTTTAATATAATTTTTTTAAATATTTAAACTTTATTCACTAAAACTAAATTAAATAATTTAAAAAATTATAAATTTTCAAAGTCAAACATATATACCTGTTTTATTAAAGAGGAAGTGACTCATTCATCCTTAACTAAAGGTTAAGGGTTCGATCCTTGGCTTTGGGTATAGAGCAGCCTTAAATTTTCATATCAGCTGTTCCACCCAAAGAGGTGTCTACAATTCAGCGAGAGAATTAGTGTGTGAAAAACTCTATGTACAACACAAAAAAAAAAAAAAAAAAAAAAAAAAAAAAAAAAGGAGGGAGAGAAATTCAAGGAAGAATGGAGCAAATTAAATTAAGACGATAAAAAAAAATAAATAAGATCATAGTGTAAACAAACTTAGAGCAGCTATAATACAAGGATGTCGACATAACTAACCATATTCTTTTTTAAGGAAAAATATTAATAATGTTTTACGCAGATTTTGTGGTATTGTTATCGATTTAATAAGCACCAAACCTAGCTGGCACATATCGACATATCGATACCATATATGCATGTATTTGACATTTCCTTCTTAGCCCTGGCTTAGACTATACTAAATTAAACTCGTGTGGAATACTTCAACCTATACCAAAAGTTTTTTTTGAAACAAGAGGAAATCATTCATTAATAATGTAAAAATCTCGAAATACACGTCGGTGGAGTATCAAACCACACCCTTGTGTCAGCTGTAGAATGAGTTGCCCGGGCTAATTCGTGGGCTACACAATTCGCTGAACGATTAACATGGGATACCGTGACGTTCCCGATGTCATTAGCAATTGCCATGCATTGCTTTACAATAAGACCTACATACGAATAATCAGAAATACATTTATTAAACGCATTGCAAAAATTAAGGCAATCTGATTCAAGAATAATGTTCCTGATTCTTTGGGTTTTCAACCAAGACAATGCTTCTCGAGCCGCCAATGTCTCGGCCACGTACGGGTCCTTCTCGCCCACAAGACGTCCGCACCGAGCTGCTATAAAATGGCCTTCGTGGTCCTGGAGAACGGCCCCATAGTAAGCATCTCCACCTCGCAACGCCGCGTCAGTATTGCATTTAACCGTGCCTTGTGGTGGTGGAGTCCAATTATCAGTCGCATGTCGTGTTCTCGGTCTTCGGCTATCCGGACAAGTATATCCTTCTTTCCAGATGATCTTCAACCGGTCATGCATCTGCCGAGTTGCATTAATATCAGGCACCTTATTGTCCCAAACCAAATTGTTTCGTGTGAACCAAATGGACCAAAAAATCGCTGCTAATGTTGCCGCCTCATCTACCGTTGAGTGTCCAATTTGTGCATCCATCATCTAAAAAACGTTACGGCCGTTTAACACATCCGTAGATTCCCATATTTCCTGTGCAAACGCGCAACCCCCAAACAAATGTTCAATAGTTTCCGAAACAAAACCACATATCGGGCAGCCACATCCGATCCATACATGTTTGGTTCGAAGATTATCCCGTACGGGCAGTATGTTACGGGCACAACGCCATAAAAAGTTCTTGACTTTTGGCGTAACCTATACCAAAAGTTAAATGATCTTGATTTTCAATTAACTATTAGCAATTGGGTTAGGAGTTAATTGTTAATTGATTGTGTTATTAATTTGAATAACTGATATTGTTAACTACTTAACTGTTTGAAAATTTAGCAGTTAAATTTAATTGATAGTATGTAAAATAACTTTGAAAACATGAATATAGTTTATAATAATAATGTACTTAGTATTTATTATATAATACTTCATCTTTCTCATTTTATATGTTCTACTTACTATTTATTGGTCAAATTAATTCTTTTATATTTGTTTATTTTTTATTATTTTTTACTTATTTTTAAATTTAATTTTTTTGCTTAACAGTACTTTTAGTGTAATTTCTAAATACAAAAATTTTGTATATTAATACAAAACTTAATATTATGAAAAATTAAATTAAAAATAACTTCAATGAAACCTCATTAACCGAACCAAACACATAAAAGGGACAAATGGGGTAATATATCACACACAAATAATTTTTTTTTTTTTACAATAATAAAACTAATTAAAGAACATTTAATAAAAAATTATACTTATCAAGAAGTACAAAGAGTCAATGCCACCACTAAAATTTGAACATGTGACTTCCCATTTAAAAGAGTCTTAGTTATGCCACTCAACTACAAGACCTTTAGCTCATTATTGTATAAACATATACATTAAAATTTAAAATAAAATAAAATAATATATGGGTTAAAATCAAAAGTTCAAAATATAGGGGGAGAAGGGATCCTACAATTTTTTAAATACTTATGTGATCCTAGTTTCGGGGAACTAATCTTAAAGTCACATCTTCTCACCTCTAGCGCCACAACAGAGGTAAATTGCAAGTCGCCCAATCAATCCATCAGTCAGATCTTAGTCTTCATGAGCACACAATGGATCAAATCCAATCTTTTATAATTCTATCATCCTAGACCTCAACATGATGAGATAACAAAGGACTCAGAGGAGAAGGAAAAGAACTAGAGAATGCATTTTGAAAGGTCGAAAAGTGTTCTGAATTATGATCTGGGAAGAGGGAGGATACAAAAGATCAAAGCAAGCAGATTGGCGCCAAGGCCATTACAACACAAACTTGTATGTAAAGACTAAGCTACCCCTCTCGTATATTGTCTCCGTAACCTGGCGCATGTAAATCTTGCGTGCCCAGCTTAGATTTGAAGTGCCAAAACAATGGAACAGGTAATGGCTTGGTGAACCCGTCAGCCACTTGATTTGAAGATGAGACCGCCAGTAACTTGATCAAACCTTGAGTAAGTTTCTCCCTGGCAATTTGACAATCAATGTCGATGTGCTTCGTACGTTCGGGAAAAACATGGTTTTCGGCTATGGCAACTGCAGATTTATTGTCACAGAAAATGGTTGCTGGTCTATCCAGCTTGATTTGCAAGTCATGCAGTAAATAGGTAAGCCATTGAACTTCACAAACCGTAGAGGCAAGCGCACGATATTCTGTTTCGGATGATGACTTCGAAATCGTGGCCTGTTTCTTGGATTTCTGCGAGATTATGGCTGATCATAAGAACACATAGTAGCTAGTGATGGACTTTCGGGTTTCATGGCAAGTAGCTCAATCCGAGTCCGAAAAAACTTGGAGGTGTAACTCTGTGTTGATGGGATAGAAGAAACCTTGTCTAGGAGAGGCCTTAATATATCTTAGAACTCGATGGGGTGCTGCTAAGTGTTTGTCGGTGGGATTGTCAACGAATTGGCTCAACTGTTGAATGGCGTCAGTGATATCGAGCCTTGTAGCTGTAAGATACAGAAGTCTACCCACCAACTGTCTATAACTGCTGGGATCACTGAGAGGTATCCCATCATTATGGAGCAATTGTAAGCCCTGCGTCATAGGTGTGCATGTCGGTTTGCAACCAAGAAAGCCAGCCTCGTCTAATATCTCCAAGGCATATTTGCGTTGAAAAATGTTCAACCCGGCAGCTTAGTTTTTCGCTTCAATTCCCAAAAATAGCTTAAGACACCTAAGTCCTTGATCTTGAAAGCATTATCCGTGAACTGTTTGAGCTCCTGAATCAGTTCTAACCTGCCACTGGCCACAATAATGTCCTCAACATATATTAGGAGAGCAATAAAATTGGTGCCAGCCCCTCTTGTAAACAATGATGGATCAGACTTTGATTGAACAAAACCAATATGAAGTAAAGTTGCGTTCAACATGGAGTTCCACTACCTGCTGGCCTGTTTGAGGCCATATAAGGATCTTAGCAACTTGCAAACTTGGTTCGGCTTCTCACATTGAAATCCAGGAGGGAGAGCCATATACTTCTTCATTTAAATCTCCGTGTAGGAATGCGTTATTAACATCCAATTGATGAATATGCCATGATCTAGAAGCAGCCACACTCAGAAAAGTTCTAATTGTGGTTATTCTGGCTACAAGTGAGAATGTTTCGAGATAATCTACCCCGAGTTTTTGTGTGTAACCCTTTGCTACAAGCCTCACCTTTTGCTTTTTGATTGTTCCATCTGCCTTGAGTTTAGTCTTGTATACCCACTTACACCCTATGGGTGTTTTTCCCGGGGGAAGATCGGTCAATTCCCAGGTTTTATTATCTTGTAGGGCATTAGGTGATGTTTTGTTTTCCCACACTGTGTCACAGTAATAATCTTGTAGCTTGTTTGGGATTAGCCGATGTCTATTTGACCGTCTGAGGGGAGCTATTGGAGGAGGCTGGCTATTATTTGACATATCAACTCTTTTCGTGTTGCCTGAGTTATCGCATGATTCTGCCACCATAGGAGTAATGCTACTGGTTTGATCATTATCATTGAGGCTGTTAGTGTGAAATGGCTCGACCAGAGAGGCTGTTGGGATGGGATGATTGCTACTGTCTATTTGAGGAGGGCTTACAACATCTTCTTGACTGCTACTGTCTACTTGAAGAGGACTTACAACAGCTTCTTGGAAGCTAAATTCTTCATGATTGGATGTGGGAATAATAGGCAGACATGGCTCATCAGTTAATGGTGGATGCTCATCTGAAGTTCAATTTTCCTTGCAGAAAGGAAATTGTGCTTCATAGAAGACTACATCACATGAGACAAACACAGATTTCTCATGGATATCTTAAACTAATATCCCTTGATGTTTGCAGGAATGCCAATAAAAATACCTTTTCTGCTTCGTGATGCCATTTTATGCCGAGATTGAGAAAGAGTGGAGGCAAAACACAGACATCCAAATACTTTGACGCTGCTAAGATCCGGGGTGTTCCTATGTAGCCTTTGATATGGACTCTGCCAGTCAGTAACCAAAGATAAAAGCCGATTGATGAGAAAGGTGGCATGAAGAACACACTGCCCCCAAAATTCCAAGGGTAGATTGGCCTGGAAATGAAGAGCTCGAGCTACATTCAATACGTGTTGATGCTTTCTTTCCACCACTGCATTTTGCTGTGGGGTGTTGACACATGATCGTTGATGGACAATGCCGTGTTCATCAAAGAAATTCACCATATTAAATTTCATCCCCTTATTGCAGCGTATAACCTTAATAGGCAAACCAAATTGTGTATGAACAAATTTATTGAACTTCTTGATTAGGTCTTGTGTCTCAAATTTAGCTCTCATTAGGTGTAACCATGTGAACCTCGAATAGTCATCAACAATGGTTAGAAAGTATCTTTCTCCTCCCAATGACCGAACCATGAAAGACCCCCAAATATCAACATGTATGAGCTCAAAGCAAATTTTTGATACTGTGCTACTTAGAGGGAAAGAGGATCTTTTGTGCTTTGCAAAATGACATATATCACAAGATAAATTCTTAGTATTAGACACAGGAACATTATGTAAATGATGCATCTTATTTATGGTAAAATTCCTCAACCATTGATGCCAAATTTCAATACTACAAGACATGATAGAATGAGTATGCGACTTCTCAAGAATTCTTGGTGGTTCAAGCAGCAAGTATAGTCCCTTTTCTTCCTTAGCAAAACCAATCATCTTCCCATGTTTTCCTCGAAGCAAACACTGATCAGCGGCAAAGACTACAGTATAAGATGAATCTTGAAGCAATTTTGTGACAGATAATATGTTGAATTGAAAATTTGGAATATGTAAAACATTTTTAAGCCATAAATCATCATTCAACCTTATACTCCCCACATGTTGCACTGGAATGTGTCTTCCATTTGGCGAATTAACTACTGCCCCTTTTATTGTCTTATAATCATCAAACAGATCTAGGGAGCATGCTATGTGGTCAGTGGCCCCTGAATCCACTATCCATGTAGAAGGATCCATACTGATTGAATTAATGTGAGTATTGTTTGAGTAATTACCTTCACTTTGAGATTCCTCCTTGAATGTAGGCATGAGAGTTATGGGCTGCAGTAGTGGATGCATGGTTCTGCCCTGCCTGAGTCTGCAAGATGGAAATTAATTTTTGGATCTGCTTAGGTGAGAAGTTGTTATCACTGCTTGTGGAGGCTGCCATTGCTTGTTGTCTGGCTTTCGAATTGAAACCTAGCACGCAACTGGGCGGGTAACCATGCTTTTTGTAGCATTTCTCCACAGTGTGGTCATTCATACCGCAATACGTGCACTTTGCAGCATTGTTGCCTCCATTGTTATTCGTATTCCTCCAGCCATTAAAATAATTTACAGCAACAATGGTTTCCTCACTAGTAATTTGAACAGATTGTGCAGGATTAGCATAATGAGGGAATTAGTTTCCAATAATAATTATCTGTAAGGAATTACAAATGTAGTAGTATACAAATATCCTACACATCAGGCTATTAGTTAAGGAAGTTTAAAAATAACCATACATAATTCCTAATATATCTAACACACCCCCTCAAGCACAAGGTTGGAGGGAGAAAATATTGAGCTTGTCCCGAAGAGCCCCAAAACGCGGTCCTGACAGCGGCTTCGTAAAGATATCAGCTAGCTGATTTTTCGTGGACACAAAGTTTACTTGGAAATCCCCGGAGGCCACTTTGTCACGTACTAAGTGATAGTCGATCTCAACATGTTTAGCCCTAGCATGGAACACAGCATTAACACACAGGTAGGTGGCCCCAAGATTATCACACCATAGTGTAGCCGGCCGGCCCGAGTCCAGACCTAGCTCACACAGCAAAGATACAATCCGTGTAACCTCAGCCGAAACATCTGCTAGCCCTTTGTACTCAGCTTCAGTCGAGGACCAGACTACGGTACGCTGTTTGTGGGATATCCACGAAACCAGATTGGAACCAAGAAAAATTGCGTATCCACTAGTAGACTTACAGTCCACCAGACACCTAACCCAATCGGAGTCCAAAAAAACATGAATGTCAGAAGAGTGTGACGCCGACAAACGAAGACCGTAGGACAAGGTGCCCTTAACATATCGTAAAACCCACTTCAGGATACCCCAATTTTCACCAGTCGGAGCGTGAATAAACTAGCACAGACGATTGACCGCAAAAGAGAGATCTGGGCGAGTGATAATCAAATACTATAGAGCTCCAGCCAAATGTCGGTATTGCGTCGGATTATCAAACAGTTCAGCTGTAGGAGTGACAACTTGTGTAACAGACGCGGGCGTTGCAAGAGGTTTGCAGTCTGTCATTCCGTCTCTATTTAATAGAACACCCATATAGCGGCGCTGAGATAGAACCAAACAGCCTTCAATGAATAAGGTCTCGATACCAAGAAAGAAACTCGGTGTACCTAGGTCCCGAATCTTGAATACGGATGCTAGACGCTGTAGTGGTATGTTGATCATGGTAGGATCATCACCTATCATAATAATGTCGTCCACATACACTAGTAAGAACACTCCAGCAGAGCCAACCGAGTAGTGGAAGAGAGACACATCAGTTTTGGAAGCAGAAAAACCCGTAGAGAGCAAAAAATCATGAAGACGTTTGAACCAGGCCCGAGGTGCCTGTTTCAAACCGTACAACGAGCGTTGAAGATGAAACCCATGGTCTGGATGACCTAGATCCTCATACCCTGGTGGCTGCTGCATGTAGACAGTTTCTGCCAAGTGCCCGTTTAAGAAGACATTGTGCACGTCAAGTTGGCGTAAGGTCCATCCTCGTGACACGGCAAGAGAAAACAGCAGTCGTACCGTTGTCGGTTTGACAACGGGACTAACAGTGTCAAAAAGTCCTCCCCAGCTACCTGGATGAACCCTTTAGCCACTAGACGCGCCTTGCAACGCTCCACAGACCCGTCTGCCTTTCTTTTGGTGCGAAACACCCACTTGCACCCAATAATGTTCATGCCGGCTGAGCTGGAACAAACTTCCAAGTATTGTTGTGTAGTAGGGCGTTGAACTCCTGGTCCATGGCATCACGCCATTGGGGATATCCAACGGCCTGGGTGTAGCAAGTGGGGTCCACCATATCACTGGAAGTGGTGAGTGCGTGAAACTGTTCACTAGTGCCACGAGTCATATGCCGCACGCGCATAACATGTACCCGCTGTTGTGGCTCACCAGAACCACGCCTTCTTGATGCATTGTGTCCCTGTATAGCCAATGGAGCAACATCCTCTATGGCCAATGGGGGGGACTCCGGGGGCCGATGTGAGCATAGCCACTAGTACAACTGGCCCTAAACCCCAAGGTACTCTAGAGTCTGTTGTAGGAACCGATCCCTTCAAAGAAGTTGCTATAGCAAAGGGAAAAACAGACTCGTCAAACCGCACATGGCGACAGATAAAGGTTTTCCCAGTATTTAGATTTAAACAACGATACCCCTTAAAGGACGTAGGATACCCAAAAAAGACACAAGGTGCAGAGCGGTATTCGATTTTGTGACGGTTGTAGGGGCGTAGGTATGGAAAACAGACACATCCAAAGACCCGGAGAAACGTGTATGACGGTGGTGTTTCATAAAGTCTAAAGTATGGACTGTCGAATTGTAGGACTGAGGATGATAGACGATTAATTAGGTAAGTATCTGTTTGAAAGGCAGAGTTCTAGTGTTTTAAGGGAACCGAGCCTTCAGCTAGAAGGGCTAAGCCGGTTTCGGCGATGTGTCGATGTTGGCGTTCTACCCGACCATTTTGTTCGTGCGTGTAGGAACAAGACTGCCTATGCACAATTCTGGGGGATTTAAATATGTTTTGTAAACGGCGGTATTCACTCCCTAAATCAGACTGGATAGCCTTGATAGAACGTGAAAACAAACGTTCTACCATCGCTCGAAAAAAATCAGACACTTTATATATATATATATATATATATATATATATATATATATATATATATATATATATATATATATATATATATATATATATATATATATATATATATATATATATATATATATATATATATATATATATATATAAGTTTTTATACGTAAAGGATAAAACCAACAAAAACGGTTATGATCGTCTACAAACAAAATGAAATAACGAAATCATTCTACAAAAACAACGGGGCAGGACCCCAAATGTCCGAGTACACGAGTTCTAAAACATTGGAGCTAGAAGCATCTATTCTATCTAGGGGAAAGCGGGATGATTTTCCTAGTTGGCAAGCCGAACAGAGATCCTGTGGACCCGATTTCTGTGGAACAACGGGGCATGACTGGAGGAAACGATGAAGGATACGAGCATGCAGGTGGCCAAAACACTGGTGCCAAATCACGGAGGAAGCCCTAGCATACACAAACGCCATGTACGATTGTGGGACCGAAAATGTGTATAAGCTACCCAACGTAGGACCCCTAAGAAACACCGCCTTGGTGATGCAGTCCTTCACAACAAAAAAATGTAGGATGAAATTCGAAAAACACATTATTATCATTGGTAAACTGATGAACAAATAACAACGAAATAGACAAATCGGGTACATGCAGAATATTGGACATACGCAAAGATTTAGAAACCGGGAGAATCGAAGTAAAAACAATACGAGAAATTCCCAAACCTGTCCCATTGCCAACGCGGAGCACGTCATTGCGGGAATAATCCTCGGACTGGGTCATCATGGTAGCGTCTGGTGTAGCATGCGATGTGGTGCCCGTGTCTGGATACCATGCAGCCACGTCTGACGTTGCGCCACTATCTCCGTTCATGGCCACATGTGCCTGGGCCGGCGGCTGGTCGGAATACCGGCGATAACAATAGATCGCCGTGTGCCCATGGGAGCGGTAGATCTGACAGCGGGGGGTGCTACCGCGTCTGCGCCCATGACCTCCACGGCCTCCACCACCGCCACGATTCTGCCGGCCGCCACAACGATTCTTTAGGCCCTCCACCATCGCTACTCTATCGACGGGCCGGCTCGCCACCATTGCTGTCGGCGTCCCGGCTGTCAACACCGCCCCTCCCGATGGAAATTCATCAAAATAAATGAACTGTTGTGCCTGTAGGTAATTGGAAAGCTGCGATAAAGATATAGGAGTACCTGACACAGCGAGCGACGCAGCCATCGCTCGAAATTCCGGCTGGAGTCCGTGAAAGACGTACATGTTTTGTTCGTCGAGGGAAATTGGGCGGCCGGCGAGTGCGAGGTCTTCCACAAGCAACTGTGCCCGTCCAAGGTATTCCGCCGGCTACATGTCCCCTTGCCGGAGGGCCTGGTATTGCCAAAGGAGAATGAGGCAGCGAGCATGAGTGGAGGAGCTGAGCGCCGTCTCAATGGAAAGCCAAACCTCCCAGGCGGTAGACCGGCTGACGGCGAGATACATGACCTCTTCGGATAACGACGAGATCAATAGGGAGAGGATGGCTTGGTCCTGTTGGACCCATACGGCGAAAGCAGGTTTCACGGTGGTGGAGTTCGCCTCAGTCGAAGTGCTGCCAGTGGTGGTGGTGGATGCGGTTAGCACTGTTGGTGGGCATGGCGTCTCGCCATCAACATATCCCAACAATCCTGGGCCTCGAAGGGAGGGGATGTCCTGGGTGCGCCAGAAGAGGAAGTTGCGTGTCGTCAGCTTGATCGACACGAAGTGGTGGGCAGAGGTAAGGTGGTTGGGGGTGGTCGTCGGAGCAGCCACGGCGGCGGTGCTAACTGTGTGTTCTGAAGAATTGGTAGCCATCGATGGAAGGTGAGAGAAAAGTGGGAAGCCTAACGCTATCTGATACCAAATGAGGGAATTAGTTTCCAATAATAATTATCTCTAAGGAATTACAAATGTAGTAATATACAAATGTCCTACACATCAGGCTATTAGTTAAGGAATTTTAAAAATAACCATACATAATTCCTAATATATTTAACAAGCATGGCCGATCTCTAAGCTAGTCAAGTTATCAACGTTCATCTGCCTTTCAGACATCTCAGCCATAACAAACACTTTATGGATATATGGCGGAGGATCAAGGACTAAAACATTAGACTTAAGAGAGTTAAATTCATCATTCAAACCTTGGAGGAACCTAATGATATGATCAACCTCCCGTTCACTTCTGATTTCTTCAAGGAGGTCACAAGAGCATTTCGGATCACATTTACATATTGGAATATTCCTCAACTCATTCATCTGCTCCCAAAGTGCCCTGCATCTGGTATTGTATTCATTCACTCTGAGGTTGCCTTACTTCAAAGCATAGATCTCACTTTGTAGAATGGAAATGCGGTGTGGATCTCGTTGAGAAAACCTCTTTCTCATATCATTCCACACCTCCTTGGCTTTGTCCATGTATACGATGCTCTGTACAACAGACGGATGAACTGATATGCAAATCCATAAGTAGATCATCAAATTACACCGCCTCCATGGAGCGTACTGGTTATGCGATCTGTCTGGTACAAGGACGATCCCGTCCATAATTCCCCATTTGTTTTTCACCTCAAGCGCTACACGCATTGAAATGCTCCAAGTACCGTAGTTAGCGCTGTTGGTAAGAGGAGGACTGACAAGGATGGCGTTGGAGCTCTTAGTGCTACTCAAATGCAGAGGATTCTATATGTCCTCTCTGTTGTTCAGGATTCATCGTGGATCGATCGCCGGAGAGTTACTAATAGGGGACTGGACGGCTGGTGTTCCCTGACTGGACTCTCTAGTTCTGGTTACCGCATCGGCATAGCTAGCGCGCTGCTCTGATACCATGATGAGATAACGAAGGACTCAGAGGAGAAGGAAAAGAACTGGAGAATGCATTTTGAAAGGTGGAAAAGTGTTTTGAATTATGATCTAGGAAGATGGAGGATACAGATGATAAAAGCAAGCAGATTGGCGTCAAGGCCGTTACAATAGAAACTTGTATGTAAAGACTAAGCTACCCCTCTCGTACATTGTCTAATACAATAGCTAAAGATTTCTTGTTGCTATGCATAATCTATGGCTTAGATTTACTTTTGATTTCACATTTTTCTGTAATCTCTTTTGTGATTATCTTGCATTTTCCTTCAGTCAGTAAGGAACTTGCTTGAATCTGTATTATGTTGTTTGTAAATCCTATTGAAGTTTAGTCTTAGGTTGTGGCTGTTATATCATTACTTGGTTTTCCCGTTTAATTTAACTTTTAAGTAATTGTCTTATCCTTGCACTATGGAGTTGTTGTATCCAATGGGTTGAATAAGAGATTAATACAAGGCAACATGGTTATATTTAATCTATTGTCTGTTTAAAGCTAGCACCCAAAAACCAGATAAGGACTTAACATACATATATAGCATCTCCTTTACTTTTTAAGGATGTAAGATAAATAGCTTTGGTTGATCTTTTTCATTTAATGTTCTCCCCAAGCACACTTACTGTCTGTGGTCTTTGGATATAAATATACAATAAAATTTTCTTTTTCATATTTCATCACAAGTTCACAACATTGACTAGTAAAATAACCATTTAGCTCCAAGATTAAAGTGGAATGGAGTAAGAAAAATAGACGTGGAGGAGTTTTTAATGGAGTTGCTCAATCTACCTATACCACAGGGTCAACACCTCACGTAAAAGTTGCAGGTCAACTTGTAAGTTCACTTGAATTATTTAAGTTATAAGTATTATGTGTTATTGTATTGGTTGAAAATCAAAATTATGTGTTTATTGTGTTATTATGTTAAAATCAATTATGTGTTATTGTGTTGGTTGAAAATTTTATTAAGGTGTGAATAAAAATCACTATGATTGTGTTTATTGTGTTTATTGAATTGATGTTTGAGACTATAATTGAATTGTATTATATATTGAACATGGAGATAATCTTATTTATAAAAGAAATTTTGCCGAATTTTTTCTTACTTTTTTCTTTAAAAATTGCTTTTGTTTGTTAAATATAATTTGTAGGAAAGGCAAATATACAAGATGAAATTCAGAGTTTGAAGGCTACTATTCTCCTTATGCAACAACAACTTGATGCTATTGATGGCGGGAGAGTGGTTACTTCATCATCACCTCCATCTCAAACCAATCGATTTTAGAATTGTTGTTTGTGAAGACTATTACATTGTTGTTTAGACTTGAATTGACTATTTTTATGTATTAAATGTGGATTGATAATGTATTATTTCTTGAACTTAATGTGCATTATTGATAATATTTTAGAATTATGTTATATTTAATTTTAGAATTAATAATGTTTTTATATTATTGTAGTTTTATATTACGGAGTAATATTTTAAAAACATTCATTACTATTTAAAAATAATAATTTCATATAATTTTTTTTAAAAAAAATCTAAAATTGCCACGGAATCGCGACGGAAAAATAATATGGCGACGGAATATTTGTTGAAAAAATGGCAATAGAATTAGCGTCGGATCATTTCCGTTGCGCAAATTGCGACGGAAATATTTTCGTCGCAAATTCGCGATGCCTTTTTCCGTCGCCTTATTTTGCGACGGAACTATTCCGTCATCTATAAAAATACAACAAGGCGATAGACGACGGAATAGATTCCGTCGCGAAACGTGATTCGCGACGAAATTTTACCCATTCGCGATAAAATTTTTCCGTCGCGATTCGCGATTTTTCTTGTAATGCAGTAGGATTAAAATCCTTACACTGCCGCATTTAGTTGTGATATCAAGTTAAACGATTAAACACTACACTAATTCCCAGGGGTAGGGATCCTATAAATTCAAAAGATGAGTGTAGGTATTAGAGGAAATTGATAAATTTATTATTTTTGTTTTCAAAAATTAGATACAGTTCCAAGTGACTTTTCTAAAATTGAATTTATGGGCTCAAAAATTCGATTAGGAAAGATATTTCAAAATGCTAAAAACTAGAGAGATCTAATTTTAGATGTATGAGTTTGTCAAAATGCTAAAAACTATGACCAAAAGTCATTACCAAACAAAACAAGAGTTAATTCCATTTTTAGTCCTAGATTTATAAGTGACAGTTCACTTTTAGTTCTTTTTTTTTTTTTTTTTTATCAATATATTCTTTTTTAGTCCTAGTATTATTGTGACATGACCAATTTTGATTCTCTATCAACAAGATCCTTGAAATTTTGTTAAATTGAAGGACATTTTGATCTTTTTTAATACAAAATGTGTTAACCTGTTATATTTTTATGTTTATTTTTTTTTGAAAACATTCATAATTGAAGAGCGAAATAACCTTGTATTTAACGAAATTTCAATAATTTTTTTGATAAAGGACAAAAATTGGTCATGTCACAATAATATTAGGACTAAGAGATGTTTTGATAAAAAATGGACTAAAAGTGAACTGCCACCTATAAATTTAGGACCTAAAATGGAATTAACTCAACAAAACAAATACGGAGTACTTTGCATCAAGGCGTAGTATACTTGGAGAACATTTTGATAGTAGCATTGCTTGAAATTTTTTATGAGAATATAGATTGTGTTGTATTCAATCATAATGTCTGAGAGTACAGAGAGCGAATATATAGATACTAGATAGAATCCTAGTCTAACACGAATAATATAGTCCTAGTCTAATATGGATAACATAGTCCTAGTCTAATATGGATAACATAGTCCTAGTCTAATATGGATAACATAGTCCTAGTCTAATATGGATAACATAGTCCTAATACTCCCCCTCAAGCACAAGGTATGCTAGCCAAAACATTGAGCTTGTCACGGAGAGAATTAAAACGAATAGACGAAAGAGACTTAGTGAAGATATCTGCTAGTTGATCCTTGGTTGAAATAAAGTGCACCTCTAACTCCTTTTTGGCTACTTTATCGCGAACAAAATGATAATCAATCTCAATGTGCTTCGTGCGGGCATGAAACACTGGATTGACACATAAGTAAGTAGCTCCCAAATTATCACACCATAGTCGAGGAGGAGACGCAGGTGGGATGCCAATCTCGTGTAGCAGAGAAACAAGCCATGTAACCTCAGCAGATACATCAGCCAGACCCTTGTATTCTGCTTCAGTTAAAGAACGTGCTACTGTCCATTGCTTTCGACAAACCCAAGATATAAGATTACTCCCCAAGAACACAGCAAAACCACTAGTAGACTTGCGATCATTTGGATCACCAGCCCAATCTGAGTCAGAATAGGCGTGAATATCCATCGACGCAGACCGAGAAATACGCAGACCAAAATGCAGGGTGCCTTTGACATATCGCATGACTCTTTTTCGAGAGGCCCAGTCCGTAGTAGTGGAGGCATGCATATGTTGACACAAGAGATTAACATCATATATAAGACAGATCAGGACGAGTTACCGTAAGATATTGGAGAGCACCAGCAAGACTGCTGTATTGTGTTGGATCAGCATAGGGAGTGGCAACATCGTCGGCGGTTTTCGCGGTAGAGACAAGCGTGACCACTGGCTTACAGTCCACCATGCCAGCACGTTTGAGAATATCCTTCATGTACCGTTGTTGAGATAAAAGCATACCACTAGAGAACGGGACAGTTTCAATTCCCAAAAAGAAAGAAGGCACACCCATATCACGAACTTTAAACTCAAGTGCCAATTTATTAACAAGAGCAGTAACATGGTCTGAGTCAGACCCCATAATCAAAATGTAATCAACATACACCAAGAGATAAAGATGAACATTATCACGAGAATAGATAAAAAGAGACACATCAGTCTTTGAAGGCGCAAAGCCCACAGAGACTAGAAAATCATGTAGCCTTGTGAACCATGCACGTGGAGCCTGTTTGAGACCGTAGAGAGATTTTTTAAGCAAACTCACATGATCAGGTAATGACTGATCCTCATAACCAGGTGGCTGGCGCATGTAAACAGTCTCAGCTAGCTCGCCATTCAAAAAAGCATTGTGAATATCCAACTGGCGAATAGACCACCCACGCAATATGGCTAAAGATAAGAGAAGGCGTACCGTAGTGGGTTTAACAACAGGACTAAATGTCTCAAAAAAGTCCTCTCCAGCAACCTGATTAAAACCCTTGGCCACCAACCGTGCTTTATGATGTTCTATTGAACCATAGGCCTTCCGTTTGGTTCTGAAAATCCACTTGCAACCAACAACATTCATACCTGGTTGAGAAGGAACAAGATGCCATGTATGATTATGAACCAAGGCATTGAACTCTGCGTCCATTGCATCACACCACTCAGGAAACTTGACCGCTTGAGAGTAACATGTAGGCTCAAACACCACGGTGGAAGTAGTGGTTAAGGCAACATGTTGATGCGGACCCGAGCTACGAGTGTTCATGCCATGCGACCGAGGAGGCGGAGTGGATCGCCAAGGACGCCCGCGCGGTCTGCCGCGCTACTCAACCTGCTGGTCCGAGATATTTCGCTCAGTCGATGCGGACTGTTCGTGACCAGCACCGTCACCATGGCCAGAAGCCAACACGGGCTCGTCAATCTGCCCAGTGCCATCAACAAAGGTAGCCGAGACATCTTTCCCTCGGCTCGTCACAACTGGCGCGATGGCCCACGGTTCGGACCGTGGCTTAGGAACCTGCGAGGGAATAGGAGAAACAAAAGGAAACACAGCCTCATCGATTCGCACGTGGCGACAGATAAAGACCTTGTTAGTGTTAGTATCTAAACAAAGATAGCCACGATGAGACGGGGGGTAACCCAGAAAGACACACGGAGATGAACGAAATTGTTGCTTATTTCGATTATGTGGACGCAAAACAGGAAAGCACAAACAACCAAATACCCGCAAGTAAGAGTAGGATTGGGGAGAACGATGCAAACGAAAGTGTGGTGACTCATCAGACAAAACACGAGTGGGCATTTTATTTATAAGATAGACAGCGGTCTCAAAAGCAGAGTCCTAGAAACGAGAAGGAATAGATGCTTGAGCCATTAAGGACGGTCATATCTCAACAACATGACGATGCCTGCGCTCCACCCGTCCATTCTGTTCATGAGTATAGGCACAAGATTGCCTGTGACGAATACCTATAGAAGAAAGGGTAGAACCAAGCTTCTTATATTCTCCCCCTAAATCAGATTGAAAAGAAATAATCTTTCGAGAAAAACAACGCTCAACAAGTGACCAAAACTTATCAAATATGCCATATAATTCAAATTTGGCACGCATCGGATAATACCATATATACCGTGTGTAATCATCCACAAACAACACAAAATATTTAAAGCCATTCGCAGAAAGTAACGGCGCAGGGCCCCAAATATCAGAATATATTAATTCTAAAAGATGTGTACTAGTAGTTTCAAACGAGATAATGGAAAACGAGATGATTTTTCCAATTGACAAGAGGAACAAACATTTGGAAGATCTTTGGAATTAAAATTACTTACAAACGAAGATTCTAAAATTTTGCGTAAGACCCGAGAGTGCGGATGTCCCAACCGCATATGCCAGACAAAAGAGGAACGTGCAGCAACGAATGCAGCCGGAGCAGGAGAGGACGCAGGCCAGGAGTACAGTCCATCAGATGCATGCCCTTTAAATAGGACTTTCTTGGCCAAAATGTCTTTCACAAAAAAACAAAGTGGGTGAAACTCAAAGAAAACATTATTATCTTTGGCAAAACGCTGGACATATAATAAAGAACTAGAAAGATCAAGAACATGCAAAACATCATTTAACTTAAAAGACCTAGAATTAGTGGCTAACGAAGCTGAACCAACATTAACAATAGGCAAACCTGTACCACTGCCAACACGAAGAGTCTCAGGGCCATCATAACCCGTCGCAGAGGTCAACAAAGAAGCATCGGGCGTAGCATGGTTGGTAGCACCAGTATCAGGAAACCAGTCATGTGGACCACCCGAATCATCACCAGAAACGGCTACATTCCCCTGAGGAGCCGGGGAGGGTGAAAAACGCTGAGAACCCGGAGCCCCTGAATATCGCCGTAAACAATTGGCTCCCGTGTGACCGAAACATTTACAAATTTGACACAAATCATCATAGCTCCAAAAACAATTGGCTCCCGTGTGACCGAAACCTTTACAAATTTGACACGGTTCATCATAGCGCCATAAACAATTAGCTCCTGTGTGACCGAAACCTTTACAAATTTGACACGGTTCCGTCGCCGCCGAACAAGTGCTCATTGTAATTATGGAACCACATCAACCAACAATTGTAATTAGCGACACTCTTAAGTGCTAAACCCTAGCTCCATGAGAGAAAACATGGAAGCTGATACCAGATGAGAATATAGATTGTGTTGTATTCAATCATAATATCTGAGTGTACACAGAGCGAATATATAGATACTAGATAGAATCCTAGTCTAACACGAATAATATAGTCCTAGTCTAATATGGATAACATAGTCCTAGTCTAATATGGATAACATAGTCCTAATAATTTTAAATTCGTTGATAAAAAAGTTATATTTTTCCTTAATCCTTAATTCTGAGAAGATACTAAAATCAATCTCTTTGTTCCACTACCTTTGGACTTTTTATTCACAACGAAACAATGAAATTCATTTCCCTGTTGACGAAGAAACAAATTACTATGTAAACTTTGCGAGGCTCAAAATTTTTAACTTTATAAGATTATGTTTATGATTATATTTCATAATCATCTCTCTCTCTTTTTAACCTGGAAGGCGTGATTGAGTGGAAGGGACTCACCCATCCTTAACCAAAGATCAAGGGTTCGATCCTTGGCTTTGGGAATGGAGCAGCCTTAAATCTCCAAGTCAGCTATCCGACCCAAAAGAGGTGCCTACAATTTAGCAAGGGGATTAGCCATTGTGTCCGACAGTCGAAACCCTGCGAATACCCAAAAAAGATAATCAACACAAATCTTCCTTTTTTAAAAAAAAAAAATTTAACTTTGTGCTTCAAGAGCACCTACCATAATCTTCGAAGTGTGTTTCGCATATGATGCATGGTAGCATGAATAACCCTAAACATAAATGGTCCAACATAACAAAAATTTTTTTCCTTTTAGACTTGTAGAATTTTATGCAATGTGATTCCCACAAACCTTAGAAAATATGGCAGATTCAAAGGATTGAATTTAACGCAAATTTTTACAACCTTACACTAAAATTAGGTTTCAATTTCTTTTTTAAAAATTATTTATTTTTTGTGGTCATCAGGACATAGGTTTCCTAAGTAAGGATACAATAGGATCCCACGGACCGAAATTAACTTTGCTCATGTCGGATAAGACTTCAAAAAGTCTTATTAAACTAAAAGAGTCTCGCAACATCTCATAAGTAGTTTTTTTTTTTTTTAAATATATATAGTATCATGCATGTGTTAGTGTCTTACTCTTTTTGAATGGTACTGACTCTATTACAATGTAGTATCTGTTCATAACTACTTTCTCAACCTAATAAAGCACAAAGAGCTAATATCGCCTCCACCGAGAATTAAACCCACAACCTCCCATATAAGTGAGCAACTTGTTCCCATTGGACCACAAGGTCCTTGGCCTTAGTGTCTTACTTTTTCCAAACATTTTTTGAATTACCACATTTGGACCATAGTGCAATAAAATCTATTCAAATATATATATATTTACACCGGTGAAATGTTACAAAAATCTTAAGCAAGCTACTTTAGTCGAATTTTTACTTCCTCCCCAATAAATTTGACCAACCATAAAATCCTTCTTGAAATAACATTCTTGTTGCTTTAAATAAAAATCTCCAAGGCCGAAGGTGATGATGTTGTTATGTCCGATCTGTCAAAAAACTTCCAGTTGGCGGGTTCTGGTTCCCAGGCTCGCCCATCATCATGAGTACGTTAAGTTGGAACTGTCGTAGCTTGGGCAATCCACGAACAGTTCGCAAGATTGTGGACATGGTGTACTGTAAGAAGCCTGAATTTGTATTTCTAATGGAAACTAAGGTGAAAAGTGATCATACCGAAAGATTGCGTGTCAAGCTTGGTTTTGATGGTTTGTTCTATGTGGATTCTGTTGGTTTGAGTGGTGGACTAGCACTACTATGGCGTAATAACAATATGGCGCGTTTGATTAGTTTCTCGAAGAATCATGTTGATGTGGAGGTGACTGTAGATGGGTATATTTCGTGGCGAATGACATGTTTCTATGGATTTTCGGAGAGAGGTAGGAGGAGGGAATCCTGGGATTTGTTGAGGCGATTATCAGCGCAATCAGTGCTTCCTTGGGTTGTGATTGGAGATTTCAATGACCTCCTGTTACAGTCTGAGAAGCGGGGCCGAAACCCACATCCAGAGGGGCTCCTACGCGGTTTTGGGGAGGCTTTGGATGTGTGTGGATTACTGCAGGTGCCTATGGAAGGATACCCCTTTACTTGGGAAAAGGGGCAAAGGACTGAGAATTGGATAGATGAGAAATTGGATAGAGTGGTTGCTACTCTGGGGTGGCGTGAGATTATTGAGGAAGCCAAAGTCAGTAACATTTTGACGCGAACATTAGAACACTCGGCGCTCTTTCTTGGTCTAACAGACTCGAGATGCCGAGGTGGTGGTTGTGGGAGCTATAAGTTTGAGATGGCCTGGATGTTGGATACGGGGTGCCATGGTGTGGTGGAGCAGGCATGGGCTGATGGGGTAGGTTATGGTCTTATGGATAATTTGCAGTTATGTGGTAATCGTTTGCAGATGTGGGGAGGTGACCGCTTCCACATGTTTGGCAAACAGATTAAGCTTCTTCGTGCAAAGCTTACGAGCTTGCGGGGATGTACTGAGCCAGACACCCTGGAGGAGTATCATGCAGTAGAGACTTAGTTGTCTCAGCTTGAAGCCCGGGAGGATGTCTATTGGAGGCAGAGAGCGAAGCAGCATTGGCTACGAGGGGCAGATACCAACACCAGATTCTATCATAGGTATGCTTCTTCCCATAAGTGTAAAAATACTATTTCTAGGTTGACGGGAACTAATGGGGAGTGGGTGCAAAAGAATTCTATGAATGATTTGATTATTGATTATTTTGATAGTATTTTTAAGACATGTAATGCCCCCCTGCATGATGATTTTTTTGATACGGTTATGCCAAGGGTTACGGAGGGTCAGAATGCAACTCTGCTCAGGCCTTTTGAGGCTGAGGAGGTCAATGGGGCTATATTTGCTATGTTCCCTAACAAGGCCCCGGGCTTGGATGGAATGAATCCGGGCTTCTATGAGCGCTTCTGGGATGTGGTTGGTGGGGAGGTAACATCTTTTGTTCTTAACTGTTTAAATGCGGGTACTTTCCCCGATGGTTTGAATGTGTCCACTATTATGTTGATCCCAAAGATGAAGGTGCCTGAGTATGCTGCTGATCTGAGGCCAATTGCGCTGAGTAATGTGGTCTATAAGATTATGACAAAGATGATAGCAAACAGAATGAAACCGTTGCTTGATAAAATTATTTCTGAGTCACAGAGTGCCTTTATTCCTGATAGATTAATAACTGATAATATCCTTGTTGCTGCTGAGATTGGCCACTTTTTTAATAGGAAACAATGTGGTAAGGCAGGTTGGGGGGGGGGGGGGGGGGGGGGCTAAAACTTGACATGGTGAAGGCGTATGATAAGATGGAGTGGTCTTTCCTGAGGCTCTTGGCTTTGCTAATAGATGGGTGGAGTTGATTATGTTTTGTGTAACCATTGTCTCGTATAATATCCTAATTAATGGAGTGTCTGGGGGTGTAATCACACCAAACAGGGGACTCAGACAGGGGGATCCTCTTTCCCCATACCTTTTTATCGTTTGTGCTGAGGGTTTGTCTTTGTTGTTACAAAGGGCACAGGCTCAGGGACATATTCACGGATGCAGGGTAGCGAGGGGGGGGCCCTGCGGTTTCCCATCTCTTCTTTGCAGATGATAGCTTGTTGCTCTTTAAAGTAAATATTCAGGAAGTCGGTGTGGTAAAGCAGTGCTTAGATGATTATGAGCATTTATCTGGACAATCTATTAATTATCACAAGTCCAGTGTACGTTTCAGTAAAAATACAACGCCAGATGACAGGAGGGAGGTGGTGGCGGCTTTGGGGGTAGCCCAGGTAACTAACTTCGGGAAATATTTGGGGCTTCCTTCTCTTGTAGGAAGGAATAAGAAGCAGGTTTTTGCCTATATTGAGGAGAAGATCAGGCATTGGCTAGGGTCATGGAATAAGAAATTGTTGTCACAAGCGGGCAAGGAAATTATCTTGAAAACAGTGGCTCAGGCAATGCCTACATTTTCTATGAGTGTCTTTTTGCTAACTGATTCTATTTGCTTGGCCGTGCAGAGAATTATGAATAGATACTATTGGAATAAGGGTGGCAATGGGGGAAATATACATTAGATGGCTTGGGACCGTTTGTGTAAACCAAAAACAGCAGGGGCCTGGGTTTCAAGGATCTGAAGGCTTTTAATTTGGCAATGCTGGGTAAACAAGCATGGCGGTTTCTCATAAAACCAGACACCCTAGCTGCCTGGGTCTATAAGGCAAGGTACTTCCTCAAATCTTCTTTTATTGATGCTTGTATTGGTAATAATCCCAGCTATTGTTAGAGGAGTATTATGGCTGCTCACAGGCTAATTTGTGGTGGTATAAGGAGGAGGATTGGTGATGGTACTTCTACTTCGATTTGGGAACATCCCTGGCTCTTTGATTCAGATTTCAGGATTCATACACCTATGCCGCACAAGCTACAGGGCTCGAAAGTGTCAGGTTTGATTGATCAGGATACCCAGACATGGGATTTAGCTATTCTCACTGATTTTTTTATCCTCATGATGTTAATCGTATTCTCCAGGTACCGGTTTGCCCGTCTTATGAGGACTCATGGTATTGGTATAATGATCCGAATGGTGCATATTCTGTGAAGAGTGGTTATAGATGTGTTGTTGGGGAAATAGCAAATACCACAGGTTTTGAAAAATGGGCTGCCTTATGGAAACTAAAAGT